CGTGACCGTAGCAGACCAGCTTGCGTGTCGTTGTGAGCCGAGGTATTTAGCATGTAAGGCATCTCGTGCGGAAGACCCCATGCTCAAAGAAAAGGTTTGGAAATGTTCCGGGCTTAGGCAGCTAAGATTCATCAGACGCAAAAGCTACCAGCAAAATCTTTAAATCAAGCAGCGCTGCCAGTATAACCTTACGAGCCTTGACTTGACCCATGCGCCTGGAGCAAGTCACGGGACAGTATGCCGTACAGACCCTCCATCATATGCAGATGGTCCTCGTAAACACCAGCATAGCATGGATATTATTATCTGATTACAGTTCCTGGTGATCCTGCGCGGGAGCCACCAAACCCTAAACAGCCAACACACAAGCAGAGGGGGGTTTGAAAGCTGGACGGGGTTAGCAGCCAAGCAGGTGTGAAACGAGTCTAAACGGGCCTAGAGCATCCTAGAGCCTGAACCCATAGACTTTAAATTGATACTTGCGTGTGGCCAGTGTGGCAACTCGCTACATAGCCATTGTGGATCTTCATGTGTATGCAGCTGAAGTCGCTGACCAGCAATCAAGAGGCAACAATAGGATCTCGTGGTAAGCAGGGGGTGCGAGTGCTGGGTGACAGCAGAGCACAGAACAAGACATAGACTATGTTGTAATCCCGGCATGACCTGTATCTGATCCCTACATATGCTCTTGATCTGCGAAGTCTTCAACCTGAGCCAAGCCCGTAGTTCTACCAAACACATGTTTTTCCAGAGACCGTCTGCTATTGCTATTGACGGCGAAAGGCTTCAGAATACAGATTTTCAGCTTGCAGAACTGGCAGGGACACTTTGCATTGCAAGCGTGAACAGAGATTTGGAACGTCAGTTTGAGCAGTTTCAACAGTCTTGCACGGTTTTGAGCAGAGACGTCGTCTATGGCACCAGACCACCTATAAGGCCTCGAACGTTGACAGTACAATTCCAAAGAGTTCGTCTTACATGCCAGTTCGTGTACATGTGTAGTGGATTGTCTTCGACGTCTGATACATTTGTGTATTGGGCATGTGCATCCTACCTCATGCGCAGGAAAATTGGTATGTATCGGGTGTCCATTTCAAGAAACCATGCAAGAACAACCTTTTTCAACACCTGCATGACTCCCTCCAGATGCAAGGCAGATCCGCAGGAAGACGGAGCACAGAGTGTAGCTGCAACGGAGGAGCAGCCTGAGGTGGCCTAGTTTGGGTTTGCGTAGGGAGAGTGCGCGCACACACGCGCACGCACAGAGAGAGAGAGAGAGAGAGATGTATTTTGCGCTGGCAGAAGAAGATGTATATTATATGTATATATGTGTACATGTAAATATGTATATACACCTGCGGAATCAGACGGGCATGCACGCAGACATGAGCACATTGCTAGGCGCATGCGCAGGCAGAAGCCTGTATATGCAGCCATCCATGCAATCACACACATATACGCATGCAGACATTCACACTCAATCGGTGTCTTTGTGGAGATGTATCCTGTCCTTGTACTAGGCGGAGAGAAGCTGCGATGGAGACAGTTCGCTCGACAGCGGTGTAGAGTGCTTCGATATTTCCAGCGAGATGGATGCTGGGTCATGGGTTTTAGACAATGTTTGGAAGCTTCCGACATGGAAGATCTCTCTTTCTTGTTGGATGGGCTCGACTTTTTGGGCGTTCATTTTTGACAGCTATGTTTTTGGATGAACCCACGACAAGGCGCAAAGCACCTGTAGATACGTTCACCGCCGTTAACAGATAGATTCCAGCAGAACAATTTGCTGTGAAGTCCATTTAAAACATTAAGTCAAAGAAAGACAGCATGGGCTTGGTCCAGCAACAGCATGACCCAGGACAGGGCAATCAGTTCCGAGTCGACACTCACAGCTGGTGACGAAGGCGACGTGGCTTACGAGAGCCAGTCTCTGACTCTAAATCTTATACGAGGGGTGTGTGCTGGGTGTGTGCTGGGTGTGCTTGGGAGAATCAATTTTAATGGCAGGTAATCCTTCTATATCGCTACATGAAGGCCTACCCATAACACATGTGATGGTCCAGCTCCGCTTACAATCCCATGAGAGATGATATCTAGCGAGCAGCTGAGGCCACTCCACCATGCCCTCACCTGTGGAAGGCCCGCGAGGCCATGAACATCAGTTGCAGATCATGGGATCAAGGGTCGTCAACAAGTTATTTGCTCAAAGACAACCCGAGAGGCCATGAGCAGCTCTTGCTGCCCGATCAATTGCCCGAGCACTTCTTGATCGGCAGCGATATTGAACCATGCCCGAGCCCGCAGAGGTCCAAAGCCAAGAAGTAATCTGATCATCAGCTGGAGAGACGATGCCTTTCCCTCGTGTCCACCACCTACCTAAAGATAACTGCCACTGCAGACGGTCCATGTGTTGGTGGGATCTTGAAGCGATTCAAATCTGCACGCTTGTCGCTGGAGGTCTGAAGCATGGTCGGAGCCCACAACCCTGGATCAGGCTGCAATGATGGCCCAGCTTGGGGAAAGAAGGTTCTTCCATGACTGGAGCTCAGCTTTTTGCCGGCTGGTAGTTAGTCGACTGAAGGAACAGCGTAAAAACTGGTTACCTGTGGTACCCGAAGTACTTCCATTCCTTCACTGCCGTCGACCAGCAGCCGTTTCAATATGTTCTAACTTTGTCCAGCGGCTTTGTCAAACTCGCCAGCGAACTTGCATGGTGCATGCCATGTCCTCGTAAGGAGCACGCGACAGGGGAGGACATGCCCGGCATGTTGTCATGTGTCGTTGCACTAGGTACTTGGAGGCCCATCAGTAGTGATCAATAGTAATGGATGTGAGCAGATGATCAGCGGGTAATAGTGGGGCTATGAGTGCCCCTTTTCTGGACTTACTTATTGTTTTGTTACTTGCAGTATTTGTGTCGTAGCCCGACATCTCCCGGACCCTCTAGCAGAGCTGTGGTGCAGAATCCCCAACCATAGCGTGCATTTTCATGCCTTCATTGATCTCACCCGCTAGGACACTTCACCGATGTCACCTGCATCAGAGGGTCACCGCCAGGACATTGGCCCAATAGCCCTTAGCTTGCAGCTGCCTCAGCTAGGGGCTGGTGAACATAGGAAACCTGGTATGATAGGGTATGTATATATATATATATATGTATACGTACTGGGTTTACATTGGGATAATGTAGCAGGAGTATACCTATACCTCATGCTGTGTCACTTAGCACGCCTCCTGGCTGCCAAACATGTTTGCCTTGGGCAGCAGTGATGAGGAATAGGTGAATAGGGCAGCAAGTGCTTCAACTAGTCGCGCATTCGACACGCTCGCGCATTAGAAATTAATTGCTCTCTTTTTGGGGTAGCGCGGCGGGAGAAGCATGCCCATAACCATGCAATGCTGGTTTGGTTGGCTTTGCAGCAATTATGTTTTTGAGAAGATGATGAGAGGTATTGCAGGCAAAGGCATTAGCATCATTGGACATCGCTCGCTCTTGTTGTTTCCATACAAAATTCAAATTCCAGGACTTTAGCTCCGATTTCGTTTTCAGTTACCGTGTCGAACCCTCCCAGCGCTCGGAGACTCATTGTTAGCTACAGATGGGGTTAGAAACAGGAGATGCGGTGCACAAAGCCAGGTACAACCTAATCTAAAGTACTCATGACACCTGCTGCCTTAGTTGCGGTGTTGATCATTCTGCTTTGCATCACCCTTTCAGGAGAAAACTGCGTCAGGCTCCGGCGAAGGTGTGCCTCTCCAGTTGCACCCAGTCCAGGAGATAGCAGAACCGGAGGAGGAGGAGGGATCTCAGGACATGATCATCCCAGAAGAAGCAGAGGAGCTGCAGGAGGTCAACCCAGAAGAAGCAAAGGAGCCGCAGAAGGTCATCCCAGAAGAAGCACAGGAGCCGCTGGAGGCCGGGTGTGATGCAGTGTAGTTCATGATCCCACTCAGCTTCATCATTCAGTATTGTTGAAGCCCGTAGCAGCAGTAACAACAAGTGTGCCAGGCTCATTACGAGCATGACCAGTACGGCTGCCTTGCGGATGTGTATTTTGACGAGACCAACCTGATCCAGAGACCCAGCTAAGACTTGGATAGGCTTGAGCTTTTCTTTCAATTATTAGGAAGCATGCGAGAAACTAGTTCTCAAGTCCTTCTCCTTACTGGTGGTTAGTCAGGAATAAAGGAAAACATTACCCATATGACATATTCCCACATTCCCTACTGACCACGAGTAAGGTCTCTTTCATAAGAGCAAATCAATCGTTGCTCCTCCTCCTCCTGCTGCTGCTGGCACGAGGAGATAATAGGAGGAGGAGGAGGAGTAGTAGTAGTAGTGGTGGTAGTAGTAGTGGTAGTAATAGTGGTAGTAGTAGTTGTTGTCGTCGTGGTGATGGTGATGGTGATGGTG